GATCATATAATTGCTATACTCTAGGACATACTGATCACATCCTTTTATGTATATGAATGATTGTGTAATCTGATGCAGGCCATACTATTGATTAAAAGTATGTGCTGGAAGCAGTGAAGGAAGGGGTTAACAAAAGTTATTTTTATAGTACTTACCATTTGGCTTGTATGATAATTTGTGCAACAGGTAGGTAGAACCACAGATGCTGCTAGAGCTGCTTATACATGCACGGAAGCCCAACCACAGGATCAAACCATGGCGGACAATGTCAAGGTCTACAGGAAAATGTCGGGGGTTGCAGAAGCTGGGATTTACTCTTTGGAGCCAACTCTTCACCAAGAGAGTTACTTTAATGCAGCCAGATTATATGAAGAGGAATTGTGGGGTGAAGCAATTCTGGGATTTGAGGAGGCCTTGAAAGAGTATTACACTGCTTATGAAAATTGCAAGCTTATGTGTGAGGAAGAACGTGAAAAGAACAAGATTTTGAGCAGGTCTGGCTTGTTTGGTGTTCATGTTGATGTGCTGGAATGTCGCACACAATGCCCTGATAAACTGCGGAGAGTCAAGGGGATTTATGTGAGGAATTATCTTGCAAGACATTATAACTATCTTCAGATGGCTTACTTTAAAGGTCAGTCAATAACCAGTAATTTTATTTGATTTTGGATTTATGTGTTGAGGAGTAAATAAAATCATAAATTTGACCTTACAGGAGAAAAGGATCATAGAATTGATACATGTAGTATCAAGCAAGATTCTTTTGTGAGAGTGTCAATGTCATGAATATTCTGAACAGTTCAGGATTTAAAAGAGGAAACTCTTAAATTTAATTTGTGATGGAAATTATATATTAATAATTTATACGGTTGAACTTCCACTAATGGCTGTGAGTTTGTTCTGGCCGCATCCCTACAATGACGTATAATATTTGTCCCAACCGTGCACCAATCATACACATGTAGATACCCTACTGTTGTTGCAGTTGGTGAATCCATGGCACCTAGGAAATCATGAGTCTTGGAAACTTTTGATCTACATGTAATCTTGAAATCTCAGAATACTTTGTGATCGGTCAAGAGGTCTCATTTTTGGACTTTCTTTCTGTATCAGAACCTTGCATTATGAAGTAAGGGTCGTGTGGTCTTAGCTTGCAGTCTTCCAGAGTCTTGGTTTTTACCATTTGTTACCCCTCTTATTGGAATGCTCTCAAGGCTGTGGTCTAGGAAAAATTATGAGAAGCCCAAGGTTCATAACCATGAAATCCTGAGTGCCCAGCACTGAAGCTTATAAATATGAAAAATTAAAGTAAGTTTTTCCATTCACCCAAATTCAAAAGTTAGTCGCCTGTGGCACCTGCATGCTTCTAGAGCACAGCCCTGGCTCGATCTGTTTGGAACCTTCCCAAGACAGCCATCCCCATGCAATTTAGCCAGTTAATTCTGCCAAGGGTGACTGCTTATGAGAGGTTGCTGTAGTTACAATTAAGTTAATTTCAATGGCAAACGACAATTGAAATGAAGATATTTACAATACAATCATGGCCATTGATGGTTATTGATGTTAATAATTTGATACTACATGTATTTTTTTCCCTTTGCAAATGACAGAGGGAAGGCTATGGGAAGCTGCTGGATGTGCTACAACCTATCTGTTGTTAGATCCTGACGACGATACAATGATTGACAACTTGAGGTACTTTAAACAGGAGCTGGGGCATCAAAGTGTGAAGATAACAGCTAGAAAGGTAATATGGGAATTAAATTCATGGACTAGTATGTTTTAACTTACATGTATAGACTGTGTTTAATTAAGTTTTGATTAGTTGCCAGAGAGTTTTTCTTCAATGATGTATTTTAAGTCAAGCACCAGCAAACAAACATTAGGTACATTGTACAAATTAAACATTGAGTGCATGGTCAATAGCCTAGAATATTTTGAATTTTCTAAGTACATGTTGCATTGAAAATATACTTGTACAATGCCATATAAATCAGTGGTGTTTAGGAAGGAAAAACAAATGAAGAGACCTTTTTATGATATGCATCCAGAGGAGGAAACGATAATGTAGCAATTTCAGGGAATGTTGGAATAGGGGAGCAAGGATGGCACAGTGATGGCGCAGTGGTCGGAGTGCTTGCCAGCTCCCACCAATGTGGCCCAGGTTTGATTCTGACTTGGTACCATATGTGGGTTTAGTTTGTTGTTGGTTCTTGCTTTGCTCTGATGGCTTTTCTTCAGGTACTCCAGTTTTGCCCCTCCACAATAACCAACATCTCCAAATTCCAATTCAACCAGGATAGACGACCCGCATGAAAACCAGCTAAGGCTGATGTTGTTGCCTCTCTAAATATTGTTTATTTACTTAATAAATAAAATTCTACAGTGTATGAAAAGAGAATGTTGATTGTTAGACAGGGTTGTGGAGAGACTCAATATACACAGTACAGGTGTAGACTGTAGTTAGTTGCCAAGCTACAGTTCTTTATTAACCTCTGACTTCTTCAGATAAATTTAACAATTCTCCTGTTTGGACCCAATAATTTCAGGCAGCAATTCAGTATTTCAAGGAAACTACAATAGAAAGGAAGTTGTTGCAGATGGCCAATGTTTACATGGAAGAGGCAGATTTTGATGATAGTGACACATGGTTTCATGATGGGAAGGGCGATGAGCCAATTGAACAGCAAGTTAATGTTGAGGTAAGAGATTAGTTACATGTGTTATTAGCTGCATGTATTGGTGATTGGTCAGTGTAAAACGCAGACTGTGGACTGCAGACTGCAAACCAGGGGTAAAAAGCAGACTGCAGACTGCAGATCAGGGGTAAAATGCAGACTGCAGACTACAGACTTTTAAGTGTACATAATTATGTATCTTAATATTTCCATTATTGAGTGCTGACAGATTCAGGCTAATCACAATGAGTCTCCACTCCAGTTAGTTTGAATATCACTTCGGTTAGGCTCAATATCACTCTGGTTTAGATGCAGTTAAATGCAATTTAACGGAGTTAACAACAAGGAGCGCAAGTTGTGCCTTTGCGGTCAGTCGCATTTAGATCTGTGCGTGCACCAAGATTCCATTTGTACTTGGGCCACAAGGCGTTCAAGTAGTTTTACATGGTCAGCACTTTCCTTGAGTGTCTGAGTCACGTCGGAGTCACGGGGACTCTGCTCAGAGGTTGTTTTGCCTCCCTTGCCCCCCCTTCTCTTTCCACTGTTTTATCAGTTTGATGGGTGCCCGCTTTCTCCCTTCCCCATGGGGGCTCATGGCTGGGTTGCCAGGATTTGCCAGACATTGGAGCAGTCTTCATCCTCGAGGCTGGCTGCCAATAGTGGAAGCTCCTGGATGCCTTAGGCACCCAACGTCCACTTCACAAGGCAGTTGTTAACCTCAACATCACTCAGGTTAGCCTAAATGACTCTCTGGTTAACCTGCTCACAGTTAGCTCTCAATGATGGAAATGGTACACTGTAACAGGATTCAGTTAAGTCTGTTGTCTGCAGTACATGCATGTAGTTTTACCCTCATTGTGCATTTTACCTACGGTCCTCATTGTGCATTTTACCTACGCTAGCTGGCAGCCAGTTAAGGGTTCTAATGAAACTTTGAAGGAGGTCCGCTTTGACTCATCGGACCAGCTGGTTGGACCAGCTGATGACTTATCGGACCAGCTGGTAGAACTATTTTGACAAGCCAGCTCATTGCCTTACTACTTTTCGGTAGATGTTCACATAGGTAAGGGATCTGAGGAAGGGAATAGAGCGATTCTTCTCGGTTGGCCCTGGTTTGATTGGAAAATGTTGTTCCATTTTGCAACGTTGGTCATACTGGTCAATGGTATAGAATTGAAATCATGCAGTGAGTGTAATAGAGTTTTTTCTCTGTCTGTTTTAGGACCTGGTGGAAGGTGAAGAGGACTACACCATTGAGAAGCTCTGGGGTTTAGGACCTCTCAAGAAAGAGCCACTGGTGGAAAACCCACAAGATGTTGTTAACCTTGATCAATACAAGGTACATGTAATTATTTGAATTATTTGGCAAAGTTTGATCAATTGATGTGGCAAGGTTTGTTAGTACAGCATGAGTCCAATTTGATGTAACCAATACATTGTATAATCATTATGGAACATATTTGGTTGGTTTATCATACTTGTCTATTATTTACTTGCAAGTCATCAACTCCTGCTTGTACTGTAATGAACACACTTGAACTGTATCACAAGATTTTTACAGTACCTTTTTAGGCCATTTTCATGGCTCTGAGGCTTAGGGGAACAAAACAAATCACATCAACATCAAGGGATGGATAATTAATTTCTTTCGTTTTATTCCATCAAGCCTCAAAGTCAAGTTAGAAATATATTGAAATTACCCATATATCTTGGTAAATTACTGTATAACAAAAAATGTTTCAATAAAGGCAGGGGACTCCAAAAGGTAGAGCTACATGTACTGTAGTGATCATATCAACTCTTGAGTATTCAGATAAGAAAATGATGACTTTTTTAGTTCAAAAAGGAGCTGCGATAATGAATGTTCATGTAGTAGTAGTAACAAGATTGTTGTAAGGCAGGGTTCT